GGAGGACTTCAGGGGCCAGTCACACAGAAAGACATGGAATAAAGAGAGAAAAGGTATACAGGAAGAAGAGGAAGGTAAAAGCCCCAAGGTCAATGATAGATGGGATGATTTATGTTAAGAAAAGCTGGCAAGAAACAAGAATAACTAAGAATAAGCCTCCATGTGTGATTTATTTAGGAGCTGGGTAGTGGGTCCCCCAAAATTGTCCAAAAAAGACTAAAGATCCAAGAGAGTAAAACATCGAATACAACACAACCCTAGATCTAGCACCAGTTTGGAACACAGGAGTTGATAAATAAATGAGCAAATTCATAAAACTCACACTGAAGCCTCCAGAGACAGGCAAAATGTGGTTGTTCTCGCCATCACAAGTTAAACACCATTTATAATTGTTTTAGAGCCTCCCTCTCAAGACTTACCAGAAATGTCAATGTAACCAGTCAACCCAATGAAGGCAGCAGCAGCTGCGCTGTGACTCAGGCACCTGGGAAGGGCTCTCCCTCCATCCCCATTTAATATATGCCCCCCCTTCCTCCCTCCTATGAGGATATGCCTTCAAAAATTTGTGTAACTTGGCTTGAGACAGGGTCTCATCTGTAGCCCTGGCTGGTCTCCAACTCAAGAGATCTGCCTGCCTCTGTCTCTCAGCACTCAAGATTTGACACTTACTTGATGGAGGGGCTTAGGAATGGAGACATGCATGACACCACGGCAGCCTCAGCATTCCTGCTGCTACCAACAGAGGAATTTTGCTGGAGGCCTTGCAGACTCCTTAACAAGCAGAAACATGAGCTAAATCCAACAGAGAGCCCCCTATGCTGTTAGGCTCAGTGAGGGGAAGACAGCACACTAGTCTACCCCTATGTGGCTGTGAACTAATTAAAACCCTAGACAGCGTGGCTGGGTTCTAGATTACTCCATGTGGCTTCTCTCAAATACAGGGGAAAACTGATTCTTCCTCCCTGCCCTACATGCAAGCTGTTCACCTAGCCGAGGAAGAGGGTACCATGGCCTTACTTAGCCTTGCTCACCAGTCAGAGACTACCTTTCACTGGCACGGGAAAGGTACCTAACTTCCCTGAACATCACTACCCTTGTCTGCAAAACAGACAACACCTATCTTATTAGGAGTCTTGAGTCAGAGAGGCAAAAATAGACATTACAGGCTTCACTCCATAAAGACCAGCTTAAAGTCAAAGGGAGGAAAATTTAAAAACAAAAGAAAAAAGCAACAGGAATATAGTAAAGACAGAAAGAAAACTATGACAAAGGAGCTAGAGACACAAGTCACCTTATGGATAACACAGATCTCCACTTAGTTCTGTCCCTGGGGAGACCTCCTGTCCCATTTTCTTTTTGTTTGTTTGTTTGTTTTTGAGATAGAGTTTCTCTGTGTAGCCCTGGCTGTTCTGGAACTTGCTCTGTAGACCAGGCTGGCCTCAAACTCACAGAGATCTGCCTGCCTCTGCCTCCTGAGTGCTGGGATAAAGGTGTGCGCCACCACAAGCGGGACATAATTAGAAGATTTTTTTTAAAGGATGACTTGTTTATTTTTATTTTACGTGCACTGGTATTTTGCCTGCATGTATGTCTGTGTGAAGGTGTTGGATCCCCTGGAACTAGACTTATAGGCAGTTGTGAGCTGCCATGTGGATGCTGGGAACTGAACCTGTGTCCTTTGGAAGAGCAGACTGTGCTCTTAACCACGGAGCCATCCCTCCAGTGCCTGTCTCATTTTCTTAACTGGCTGCCACAATACAGTAAGAAAACTCACACCCTGAAGTCCCCAATGCAGAGAGAATACTGTATTCCTAACATATTGAAATACTCTTCTGCTCAAATGGGCACTTAACTCAAGTTCACTTACCCAGAATTTTCTAACAGTGTGCAGGCAGTCTCAATCTAAAGAGCTGAGATTTAGTGGGAGACTCAGAAAGCCCCAGAATTTCAGCAGAAACTCTGTGCGGTCAGCTTTTGATCAAAATATCAGTTATTCTGCCAGCCAGAAAAAGGATGAGTATTGTCAAGATTCTGAACAGAGCCATCGCAGTCTCAGAGAGCTGAGCACATCTCAAGACTAATATTGCCAGCTTCGGTTTCACCAAGTAGACGCTTCAAGCTGGCTTATGTTCTGGACACTCCCGGCATATTCTCCTTGCTTTTAGTACTTTTCATGTTTGGTAGGGTTTTTCTTCCAGCCCTGCCACCCCAGACCTCACTCTGCCAGGATCCATCCATTGACTCTTTGCAGTCTATGTGGCCATTTGTACTTCAACTGGCTTCAAGGATCCTACTGTGCAAAACTGATGCCTACTTAGAAATAGCTTCAAGTTTACATTCAAATCCCTTGTTTTCAACACGTCCCTTCATTTCCATTAACACTTGAATGAAGGACACCTGGCCATGCAATGCCTTTCAATGCTTTGTTTTGGTTTTGGGGTTTTTTTTTGGGGGGGGAGGTTTGCTTTTTTTGTTTTTTATTTTGTTTTTTGGTTTTTCAAGACAGGGTTTCTCTGTATTGTTTTGGAGCCTGTCCTGGGACTCACTCAGTAGGCCTGGCTGGTCTCGAACTCACAGAGATCCACCTGCCTCTGCCTCCCAAGTGCTAGAATTAAAGGCATGCGCCACCAACGCCCAGCTCAATGCTTTCTTTTTTTAAATATATATATTGCTTGAGCTAATTAATCTGAAGCAAGCAATTGTACCCATAAATTTTGAGGAACTAGAGATCTACTCAAGACACGGAAAAAAGCCACACCAGTTTACTGCATGATGGCGCTTGCATCAAACCCAAATTCCCCCATTCCATCTATTTGAAAAGCAGAATTGCTCTACTTCAATCCATTTCTGACCTCTTTCATTACCAGGTGGCAATATTTTACCACTGATGTGTTCTGAGAAGCCTGTAGCCTATGCTTCACTTACTATCTAGATAAATGCTTACAATTTAGCAATGTAATCTTGCCAGGTAACAGGCAGGAATTATAGACTACATCAAGTGTAAAATGTCAACTGCCATGACGTGGGGCAAAATACAACCCTAAAGCAACATGTTAGGATCCAACACTGCCAGGAAGGATTTAAAATGGTCTCACTCATCTTTAACGGCTGCGTTTTCTATTTTAAAGAAAAGATAAAAATTTAACTCAAAGCACCAGTCACTACTTCCAAGCTGTAACTAGCTTCAAGTTTTTCTAGTCCTTGAACTGTGAAATGCAGAGAAAAAGCATACTTGGGATACTCAAGTCACCCCGATTTGTATCCAAAGAAGCCACCAACTTTACCAAAGGCTGTCGCATACAACACTGTGATACAACACTTGCTATTCAGTATGTCCCAAGCACATACTACACACTTCCTCTGGTTTAACTCCCTAAAAGAGGCAGGTAATGAATAACTCACCTGGTCCCGAGACAGACACCTACAAGCACAGACCATCAAGAAAAACAACCCTAAAATTAGTTCAAATTCCTTCCTAAGTATGAAGTGAAGCTTGGTAGACTGAAGCGACCCAATTCTACCCTGAAGCAGGCTGAACAGTCAACCTGCTCCTTCCCAGGCCAGCAGCTGTGCATGTGGGTCAGAAGTAACTGGGTTTCCACAAACACTAAACATTTTGAACAGTGAGCACTTAACTGAACAGAACCGTGCAGGGTCAAAACATTATGAAATCAGTACACACACCAAAGATCTGGACTACCAACACTGAGACAACACAGAAGGACACTTGACAGAAAACAATGACCTGAGGTGACCCAAGGAGGGGAGTGTTTTTCCCTTCAAAGTAATCAATACAGACAAGAATCAAACTAGACTGAAATGATCCGAGGCCCTCACCGCCAGGACTATCTAGCTCAAGCACCACGACTATGTCTAAAGTCAAAAACAGGATGACAAACGCAAAAGTCACAGCACAGTGAACATCCAAATCATTTGATTTTCACACAAGTACAAGGGACATAGGGAGGAGGGACAAATGATAAAACGTTACTCTCAGGTAACAAACACCTTGCTTGCCAGATGGTGGTGGCACACACTTTTAATCCCAGCACTCGGAAGGCAGAAGCAGGCAAATCTTTTGAGTTCGAAGCCAGCCTGGTATACATACCAGGGCTACACAGAGAAACCCTAACTCGAAAACTCCACAAAACAAAAAAGGGAAAGAAACACCTCTCTGAAGCGCCGTGGGAGTCGTGATTTCGACTTTTTATTCGGACTAAACACCTGGCCACCAAGATTTTTCAATCAAAGCTGTCTCAACTTTGACATCATGAAATTAAAACATTCGGAACTTGCCCTCTCTCCAGACATCAGGCCTTGCGGGGGAGGGAGGGAGCACGTTCAGCACAACATCAATCTTGGAAGGAATGACACTTCTGGGGGTGCTGGGTAATGTGAGTTAACTTCCTCTTCCTTTAAAAAGGTCAAAGACAGGGAAGAGTCCACCGTAGCATTTCCTCCTTAGCTGGTTCCACCACAAACCACAACACAACTGTAATTGCTTAAAAAACAATAATGATAGCCAGGAGGAGTGCTTTTTGTACACTTGCACTACAGGCAGAAGACCCAACTTACCTCGGAAAGCAGCTGATTCGTTTCGAACAGGAAACTATCAATAAAGTTTACTGTGGGTTCTAAATAATAGAGAGGGCAGCGAGCCCCGCAGGAAGGCAGGGCCTCTCAACAATCAGAAAAACCTTGCCTGCAGGGCTGGTCCCAAGCACCAGCAAATTCTGCCCAATAAAGGGGAGGGGTCTTCTAGGGCAGGGCTCCCTCAGGTCCACAGGAGCTGCAGAGGCACGACCCGGGGGAGCTAGTGTTCACGGTACCGCAGGAGGTCCCGGGGTCCCAGCAAATGCTGCCACCGGTGCACCCCAAAAGCTCGGGCCAAGCCCGGAGCAGCTGACTTGAGCGGCTGCCCGCCCTTGCTGGGCTGTGGCGGCAGGCAAGGAGGCTCCCACCAAGGGTCGTTCGGGACCGCTGGAAGGTGAAAAGGATACTGTTGGGGGGGCCGGGGTCTGGAGGGCCCTGATGTTCGGGTGAGGAGGGGCCGCCGCTGCCGCTGCCGCCGCCGCCGCTGCCGCCGCCGCCGGGTGAGGAGGCGGTACCGCCGCCGCTGCCGCCGCCGCTCCGGTGCCCGGTCCGGTTCCTGCTGCAGCCGCTGAGCCTGATTTCAGAGCCGGTTTCTGCGGTAAACTCATGGCAAAGCGAAGCCACCAACCCCCCCAGAGCGGGACCGGGCGCGCCGGGGTGCAGGGGCCGGGGGCAGCGGAGGGGCGGGATGGGGGCAGACCCGGGGAGGCGGCGGGAGCGGGGGGCCGGGGGGAGGCTGGGAGGAGGAGGAGGAGGGGGCCGGGACCGGTCACACACGCCCTCCGCCGCCGCCGCCGCCGCCTCCGCCGCCGCCGCCGCCGGCAGCAGCAGCCGCCCCGCGGGCCAGCACCACCGGCTGCCGGTCTCCGTGACAACGCGACCCCGGGGAGGGGGGGGCCGGACCCGGCGGGGGCAGGAGGCGGAGAGACCGGACCTTTCACGGCAATATCCTCATGGGCCGGCGGCGGGGGGGTCTCTGTCCCCCTCCCCGGGGGAAGCGGCGCCCTTCTCGGTAGCGGGGCTCGGGCGATGCGGACGGATTTTCTTCACTCAACGAGCAGAGCATCCAACATGGCGCTGCGGCCGCCTCCAGCAGTCCGGCAGGACGGCCGCTCGGAGCTTTTCGGCCCTTTTCGGAAGGGCTCGGCAGGCCGAGGTTAGAAAGCTCCTTCGGCTCTTTCCGGAGACAACGAGCGGCCGGGGTTCTTCGGGAGCTCTCGGGAGCGTCTTCGGCCGCTGTTCGGGAGAGCCGCTGGAGCTGACTCTATTTCTCGGAAAAGATCGGTGATCCGGGGCTGCTGAGGCTCTCCGCAGCACGGTACCGGGAAGAGGAAGAGACCAAAGGAGAGGTTTGAAGGGAGAGAGCCCTCCCCTGCGGCCCTGCCTCGAAGAACAATAGCAACGGCACCCGAGGCCAAGGTCCGCCGAGACCTACCAGAGGCTACCAGAGGCGCCAGAGCGAGAAACCGAGTCTCTGTAGAGGGACAGGCTAAGCCCGAGCGCTCGGCTACTGATAGGAACCCGCCTGCCGCAGGGACTTATTAACATAACAGATGCCACTCGCCGGCACTTGACGTCGCAAGTCACGGGCATTATGTCGACACGTCGTCCTCGGATGCTCTTAAGTGTGAAATGGAACGAGGAGCCCCATTTGCAGAGGAGGCCCAGAGGAAAAGAGTGACTTCCCCAAGGTCACCCAGCTGGAAATGAATGGAGGGAATCCAAAATCTGGATTCCACCTTCTCTGAGATGAACCTTGCCTTCTAGGATGCAAACGGATCTGCCTTACCAGCAACTTTGACCACGACTCGGTAGGGTAGATGTCTTTCCGAGGCCTTCCCAAAACTGGAGGAGCCTTTGGCCACAACTTGTAGTGGGCTCCCCATCATCCTTCGCTGGGATGACACTTGATAAGATCTCCTCCTCCCACTCCCATCCACGCTTTGCATACCACACCTGCAACCCTCAGTAGGAGCCGTGTCCCCAGCACACAGTAGCATCAACTGAGGAGACACAGGCATCTTCGAACTATGAAGATACAGAGTACTTCATTGGCTCATACAGTCCCAAGAAATAGGTAATATCTGTTCTTACTAGTGCACCCCCCCCAAAAAAAACAAAAACAAAAATTTGAGACTTAAAAGCTACAGATTTTGCCTAAGCCATGTGACTACTGTAGTGGACAGAGGAAAAGCAGTGGATCCGAGGACATACCCCAGTGGTAAAGAGTGCTTGGCTTGCAAACATGAGAGCCCAAGTTCAGCCCCCAGACATTACTTAGAAAAATCTAGCATGGTGACCCGTGTTTATAATCCCAACACCGAGGAAGTGGTGACCAGCAGATCCCTCAGATTCACTGGCCAACTAGCCCACTCTGTCTGATGAGTTCTAGCTCAGTAAGAGACACTTCCTCGAAAATATTAAGGTGAAAGGTGGAGAGATGGCTCAGCAGTTAAAAGCACTGACTGCTCTTCCAGAGGATTCTGGCCCAATTCGCAGCACCCACATGGCAACTCACAACTGTCTCTAACTCCAAGATCTGACACCCTCACACAAACATACATGCAGGCAAAACGCCAATGCAAATGAAATAAAAGTAAATAAGTCATAAATAAATAAAAAGGTAGATAGCACCTGAGGAACAACATCTGAGGTTGTGAACACACGTGAACTGTTCTGAGCAGGATGTTGGTGGGGCACATCTTTAATCCCAGCACCTCCCCTGAGAAGTAGAGGAAGGCGGATCTCAGTGAGTTTGAGGCCAGCCTGACAAGTTCCAGGACTGTTACACAGAGAAACCCTGTCTTGTGAGTAGGTTGGGATTAAAGGCATGTGCCACCACTGCCTAGAACACAGTCTTTTTTTTTTTCAAGATGAATCTCTGAGTTCAAGGCCAGCCTATGGAGTAAGTTCCAGCACAGCTAGGGCTACACAGAGAAACCCTCTCTGGAAAAAGGGGTGGGGGAGATGATTGTGCTCTGATTCCTACTACATTGGTGGGCTTGGGGGCTGGAGTGTTGATTGGTTTTTCTGGGTTTGTTTGTTAGCTTGCTTGTTTTTTTGAGAAAGTCTCAAGTAGCTCAGGCTAGCTTCAACTCCCTATGTGTCTGAGAATGACCTTGAACTCCTGAACCTCTTACCTTCACTTACTATTACAGGCATCTGCCACTGTACCCTGCTTGGGTTTTTGCTTTTCGTTCTTTGTTCTTTTTTTTTTTTCTTTAAAAAACTTTAAATGTAGTGGATACTTAATTCATGACAACTCCTGGAAGTTCCAGATGCTCCCAGAAGATAAAAGAACACTTGGATGGCATGTTCCCCACCACCTCTACCTGAGTGAGCCTCCATGGCTCCCAGCACAGAAAACAAAGCCTCATCACCATCTCCTGACCAGGACACAGCAGCTACTTCCTACTTTGGCATCCTCAAGTGTGGATTTTCCACTCCTCCTCTGGCTTGACTAACTCCAGGGAAAATTTCCAGGTGGTCCTCCAGTCCCCCAGATTCTCATTTCAGGTTCTGAGACCTCAGGCTTCTTTATCCCAATCAAAAATCTGTTCCCAGCAGAAAGATTTGACATCTTGTTTACACTAGGCTGATAGCAGATTGATAATTGCTTAATTGTTATTCTTTTCTGAGCTAGTTTCCTTTTTTATCTTAATAATTGCTACAAGCACCAGGCAATTAGTATGTGCCAGGCCTTTTCCAAGCATTTTGTGATCATTATCACTTTCAAACAAGATAGATCCTGGGCAAAATAAAGTTAAAGTGTAGATAAGAGTCTGACCCCAGGCAATCGAGTAGGGGAAGTTCAGAGAGCTAAGTCATGGAGATAGGGCTCTCTCCTTTCATCCAAAAGCATGAGCCTTGGGGCTAGGACTGTGGTTCAGTGGTAGAACAATTGTCCTGAGCTCTTCATTTCTTAAAAAGTTGACCCTGGAGCCATGGTTTGAACATGGGTATACACATACAGGAAATACAACACTTCTCAACACTCCCACATCCTAGAGCAGCTAACACTGAACACCATATGTAGATCCTTTTCATAGGTTAACTCATTCCACCGACAGTACTGTAAAATGTTACACCTCATTTGCCAGCAGAGAAGTTAAGACTCAAAGACCTGAAAAGGAAATTTGTATGACTTCTAAGTAGACGTCCATGACTTCTAAGTGGACGTCCTGGGCTTCAAACCCAAGGCACTACTTCTAGATCTGTTAGACCGAGTGCCTTCAGTATAGCAACCCTCTCAACACAGACACTGGCAAGAAAATCTGATTTGGGTGTTAAAGGGAGGGCTCACAGGTTATATGAGCTCTAACTGCTAACTCAGAGAACCCAGGTTTAATTCCCAGTATACATGGCAGCTCCTAACCATTTGTAACTCCAGTTCCAGGGGATCTGATGCCATCTCCTGGCCTCATTGGGTACCAGGCATGTATATGCACACACATACCAGGTAAAACACCCCATACATAAAAATATTTAAAAATCTTGCTTGGTGTTGGTGGCTCACACCTTTAATCCCAGCACTCAGGAGGCAGAGGCAGGCGAATCTCTTTGAGTTTGAGGCCAACCTAATCTACAGAGCGAGTTCCAGGACAACCTCCAAAACAATACAGAGAAACCCTGTCTTGAAAAACAAAAACAAGCCAGCCTGGTCTACAAAGTGAGTTCCAGGACAGCCTCCAAAGCCACAGGGAAACCCTGTCTCGAAAAACCAAAAAAAAAGAAAAACAAAAACAAAAAAAAAATTAAAATCTTACTTTATCACCTTGTCCACTAAGAGCTTTCTATGAGGGCCTATGAAATAGCTCAGTAAGGTGAAGGCTCCTGCTGTCAGTCCTGATGACCTGGGACGCCCAGAACCTACTCTGTGGAATGAAGGTAATAGGAACAGGCCCAAATGTGGGAATGTGGGCTTTGTTGCCAAGAGACTAAGGTGGCTATTAACTAAGGTTAGAAGAGCCTGCATTCTGAAGGGTCTTGGATTTAGGCTAAATCTTGAAGGTATTTGGGGTGGGGAAGGAATTCATGGTATTCACGAAAGGCTCATATTTTCATTTAAAAGTGTGTGTGTGTGTGTGTGTTTACATGAGTGCCGGTGCCCACAGAGACCAGAAGAAGACATCAAAGCCCCTGCCCCTGGTGTTGAAGTTAACAGGTTTTTGTGAAGCCACCTGATATTAGTGCTGGGAATTGAACTCAGGTCTGCTGTAAGAGCTGTGCACACGCCCAACCACTGAATCACTGCTCCAGCCTCTAGAGAAAGGTCTTAATCCCCTTGAGCCTAGGTTTCCCTCATCTGTGAAACAAACTCCACCTCCTGGTGTTTGGGGAATAAACACAGTGCTTATCCAGGGATTCCCTGGGGCACAATAATTTTTTTTGGTACACTTTAACCATTATGGTTCATTTACGCAGAGACATTTCATTGTTCTTTAAAAATCCCTCTGATGTGGCTAGCACTCAAATGGGATATGAAATTTGAATGACTTAATAATTGTGAATTGCCAGAGGATTTTATGTTACCCCACAGGAATCCCAGACAACACAGGCCAGGCTCTGCCTCACCACATAGGAAGGAAGCAAAGCCAAAATATCCTAGAACAGGCAGACCTCATGCCCAAGAGGAGTGTTTTCAGCTTTGGATGATCAGCAACTATTCGCAGAGCCCAGTGCAACCTGTGGCAAAGCCGGGCACTCCCTGTGAGAGGCAAGGAACACTCACTTTATGTATATTCTCAGTTATGGGCATTGCTGTTTGCACGAACATGCTCTGGCATGGGATTCAGAAAACCCTTCTTCTTCTTCTTCTTCTTCTTCTTCTTCTTCTTCTTCTTCTTCTTCTTCTTCTTCTTCTTCCTCCTCCTCCTCCTCCTCCTCCTCCTCCTCCCCCTCCCCCCTCCTCCTCCTCCTCCTCCTCCTCCTTCTTCTTCTTTTCTTGAGACAGGCTCTTACTGTGTTGCCCAGGCTGCCTCTAACTCGTTTGGGCTCCAACAACCCTTCTGCCTCAACCTTCCAAGTGAACTAGACAGACTATAGGAACGCCACCAAATCCAACCGCTACATACAGAAGCTTCCCTTGTTGCCTTCTTCCTCTTCCCTACCCTCCTCCTCAGTGTTAGGGATGATTGAACCCAGGACCTTATGTATATGAAACAAACTACCACTGATCTACAACCTGAGTTCTAATTTTCCCATCCAATACCCTTTTATTTGTGTGTGTGTGTACGCACGCGCGTGCATATGTTTGGGTTTTGTTTTGTTTTATTCTTTTGAGACAGGGTTTCTCTGTATAGCTCTGGCTATCCTTGAACTCACTTTGTAGACCAGGCTGGCCTCAAACTCACAGAGATCCACTTGTCTCTATCTCTTGAGTGCTGGGATTAAAGTAGTGTACCACCACTGCCCAGCCCCTTTTGGTTTT